ACGCATGAAAGTAAGTTTTTGTCAATGAATGAAATGCAAAACCAGTGAATCCAAACATCATTGCAATAAAATACAAAATATCGTTATACTAATAATATGTAAAGTTTTTTCTAAATAATAATAACGAGGACATAAAGTCTATTCCTGGCCTGATCCAATCCAATAAGTTTACTTTAAACAAGTGTCCATTTTTCTACATTATCAATACTTTTTATACGTCAAAAGACTATTCTTTTTAATGAATTTATAGATTACTATTTTTAGTTAACTAATTTAATATGCAATTAAAATAAATATTAGCAATAAACAGCACTTAAAATATAGCTTATAATTAAGTTTATTACATAAATATAATTTAACATATTACATAAATATAATAAAACCAAATATTGTAAGCATAACATTAAGATAATTATATGGTTTATATACTGTATAAACTTTAATTTAAAATCTAAATTAATATGCAATGACTTAGTTTACATTATATTTAAAGCTATAAAAATCACTGCCTGTGATAATTTGATCATTTTATTAAGTTATGATAATTTCTCTCTATTGTGAATCAATTATTATATATCGTACAAAACATTTAATTATTACTTTATCTAAAATTATAAATGTTTACAAAAACCATATAATCCATATCGATAATGTCTTTAAACGGCAATTCTAATGGTAATGATATTTGTGTGTCGGGAATGTCGGGTCGGTTCCCCCTCTCAGATACTACGGATGAGTTCGCAAAGAATCTGTTCTCAGGCGTGGATATGGTTACCGATGATGACAGTCGATGGCCATTAGGTATATTATAAATTATAATTAACGTTATCTAATCTAAATTTAGATTAAGCTATTTCGGGTTACATTAAGTGTAATAATGCCCATTGCTTAAATATAGGAATGTTTGATATGTCTAATCGTATGGGAAAGATTCAGAATTACCAGAGCTTTGACAACGGATTCTTTGGGCTTCCGAATGATATGTTGGAAGAGCTCGACCCGCAGTCCCGGTTGCTTCTGGAGGTGTCATATGAATCGATGTTGGACTCAGGTTTGTGTAAAAATTTATTACTTTTACATTAAATTGAATTTCCTCGCAAATATCATTTATAAATTCTATACTGTGTAATTAACTAACATATTTGATAAATACCGCAAAATCATGCTTATTACCCGCACAAACAAAATGTGTTTTAAAATAAAATATGATTCACAAATAACCAGCACTTAACCAACGTTAATTCCCAAATATTCCCAAATTTGACTGTATTACTCCCTGTTCCCGACGGAATTTGGTTGTTTGTAATCCCGAATAATCTCTTCTTTAGTGAAGATGTTATACTACAATATATAGAAAAAACACAAGTGTTAACCCTTATGATAATGGGGAAAACTTTACCGAACAAAATATAACGTAATTGTATTTTACAATATTCAAAACAATGTACAGGTGTTAACCCGCAATCTCTACGTGGTTCAAACACCGGGGTCTATGTGGGCCTTACCATCTATAAAAATTGCGACGGATTTCCTGATGACGTGCACCCGGATGTGGACGGATCGTTGCAAACGACAATTTTTCAAACATTGTTTGAAGCAAAAAATCTCTACGCGAGCCGTATATCGTTTGTTAACGACTTAAAAGGACCGACTTTTATGGTGGACACCGCCTGTTCATCCAGTCTGTCCGCAATGACACTGGCCTATAATGACCTGTTGTTGGGTTAGATTGCATCTGCTTATCCGTTGTAAATTAAATGTAATAATTAAGAAAATGTTTCGATAGACAATACGGATGCGGCGATAGTGTGCGGCACTCATATGGTGTTCGAGCCGTTCATCAATCAGTTCCAGCAGGAGTTGGGATTGTGTTCGCCGAGAGGTGTATCCGCAGTGTTTGACGAGTCGGCCGACGGTTACGTCAAGTCAGAGGCCGTGTGCTGTCTGTTCTTACAGCGCCGTCGGAAGGCCCGACGTGTGTACGCACAGGTGGTGTCCGCGCGAGTGAATGTTGACGGGTATAAAAAGATGGGAATGTTTTTTCCGTCCGCCGAATCTCAGGCAGAACTCATGCGAAAGACCTGTAAGGCTGCGAAGGTTGACCCGACACAAGTGACTTATGTTGAAACACACGGAACAGGTACTAAGGTAAGATCACGATTGATATTTTATATTTCATTATGGAATATTGTTTAAATTAAGGCATACAATTGTATAAATATAATAATACACAATGTAACATAATTACTTTAAATTGCAGGTGGGTGACCCGCAAGAGGTTAAGGCGATATACAACGCGTACTGTGAGGGCCGGACTGAGCCCTTGCCGTTGGGGGCGTTGAAGAGCAATATGGGTCATCCGGAGGGCAGCTCTGGGGTCTCAGCACTAGTGAAAGTGCTGATTGCATACGAGAATGAATGTATTCCTCCGAACCTAAACTTAATTGAATTGAAAAAAGAATTCAAGAGATATTTTCCACCACTACTGGCAATAAATGAGAAGTATCCGTATAAACCTGGTGATATTTATATTTTCTATATGATAATTAAATACAATGATCAATAATTATTTAAAATGTCCAGGTTTAGCGGCGGTGAACAACTTTGGTATCGGCGGTGCGAACGCACACGTATTGCTCGAACCGAACCATAAGTTGGGAACGAGTGATGGCTTTCTAATCGCGGAAACGATTCCCAGAATTGTTAACATTTGCGGCCGAACTGAAGATGCGGTCAAATATGTGATGGATTTCATACAAAACAACCCAAAGGGAGTGACGAATGACTTTTTGGCACTTTTGGCACAGACTATGAAATACACGCCTAATGTTAACTCATCGGGAATGCCGTTTAGGGGTAGAGAACTATAAAACATTATTACAATTAAAATATATTTCAATTTTAGGTTCACTGATATTAAAGAAAGTGTCGGAAGAAAACAATGAAATAAACTACGAATACAAGAGACAAATGGGAGTAATGAAAGGCAAGAGCGCTCGACCCCTATGGCTACTGTTCCCGGGTTTGGGCGGTCAGTGGCCGGCAATGGCTGCAGCTTTGATGCCAATCAAGATATTTGCCGATAAAGTGGAAGAATGCCATCAAATACTACACGAATTCGGTGTCGATTTGAAACACATGTTGTTATCAGAAGACAAGACATCGATGTCTACAATGACTGCAAAGTTCTGTTCGACGACTGCTATAGAGATAGCATTGTTTGAAGTGATGAAAGCGCTGGACATCACACCCGACGGTATAATTGGCCACTCGTTTGGAGAGATAGCCTGTGCTTACGCTGACGGGTGTCTCA